AAAAACAAGAGGGCGGCGAAATGGGGGGACAAGGGTTACCCCACAAACATAACTAGGTTGCCCTCATGAGTCCTTCTGCTATCCGTCCCGGTGGGTGCTCCACCCTAGGATGTGTGCGCCCTGGACTGGAGCCTGCGACGTCGTGCTGGTGGGCCTGCGCCGGCTCCGAGCAACGGGATACAGGGAGGCAAGAGCCCGCCGCCACTCAGTTCCTTCTCAGCCGCCTGTGGCTTGAGACCGAGTTTTCGGCGGGTAGCTGTGTTCTGCTTCCCGCCTTTCTCTCACCTCAGGAAAGACTTTTCTCGCGTATTTTCGTTTCTCATTTGTTTTCTTGCCCTATATTTTATTTTCATTTGTATTTCATCTGGCACGTTTCTGTGCTCTGGGAGAGGGGGTTCCCCATCTACTCCTGCATCTTTCTTAGTGCCGATCAATCTGTTGTGCCTAACACCCCAGGGGCTAAGACCTGCCAGACTTGCCACAGGTCTTTTCCCCGCAGTGACGGACATTGGAGTTGCCTACGGTGTTTGGGGAACTCCCCCATCCCCTCAAAGTATGTGATCTGTCTGGGGTTTGGGGGCAGGCCCCAAAATGACAGGGAGACGAGACTAGCAGTCCTGTTAATGGGACATGCTCTAGCTCTGGAGAGGTCCGCTTCCCCCCAGGCATTAGCACTGGCTCCTTCAGGCATTAGCCCAGCCTCAGCTGGAACCACGGAGACAAAGCCTTTGAAGAGGAGAAAGCACTCCTTCCCATCCAGAGACAGGGAGAAAAGGGGTAGGTCACCTCATAAGACCCACTCTCAGGAGCCCTCGTGTCCATTAAGGGTTACCGTAGAGGCTCCAACTGAGTCCGGTATCGAGGTGTCGGTACCATGTACCTGATCCTCCTTAGACACTCCAGTTTCCCAGTATTACCACCAGTGCCACTCGTTATGGGGACAAATGGTTATGAAAACCAATACCCAAGTAAAAGAAAAAGGTTCTCCTGATCCCAAAGGACCAAGCCCCAGACCCAGGTCAATATACAAATCAGATCTTACCCACAAATCATGCTGTTGCCAATCCTTTAGAATCTAAAATCTAAAGGTTTATTCATAAAAGGAAATAGATAGAGATGAGAGATAGAATTGGTTAAATGGAATCAATTACATACAGTAATGGCAAAGTTCTTGGTTCAGGCTTGCAGCAGCGATAGAATAAACTGCAGGTTCAAATCAAATCTCTGGAATACATCCCTCGCTGGGATGGGTCCTCAGTCCTTTGTTCAAAGCTTCAGCTTGTAGCAAAGTTCCTCTAGAGGTAAGAAGCAGGATTGAAGACCAGGTGGAGATGAGGCATCAGCCTTATATAGTCTTTTCCAGGTGTAAGAACACCTTTGTTCTTACTGTGGAAAATTACAGCAAAATGGAGTCTGGAGTCACATGGGCCAGTCCCTGCATACTTTGCTGAGTTACAAGGCGTATCTGCCTTCTCTCAATGGGTCCATTGTATAGTGATGGTCCTTAATGGGCCATCAAGCAGGCTAGGCAGAGCTAACACCAGTTTGTCTGGGATGTCACCCAGCAGCATAGCATAAGTTTGAAATACAGACAGTATAGAGCCAATATTCATAACTTCAAATACAAAATTGATACACACATATAGACAGCATAATCATAACCAGTAAACCATAACCTTGTCTTAGACACCCCATTTGACCCCCTTTATACAAGATCTGGGTGCCACTACAGGACCTTGGCTGCAACAATGATCTATATGGTCCCAGATTATGTCAATAACGTCACACCAGGAGAT